GTAAGGAAGCTCAGAGTAACTCTGGAAGGAGACTTTACTAGAATTTCACAGCTGAAGTCTCCTTCCGCTGGAGAACGGGAAGGAATCAAAGCCCACTGGGAGGAGAGAGCAGAGCCGGGGTTGATGCCACATAGCTGGCCCAGCGGCAGGGGGTGGGGGTGGTAGGGATCTGGGGGACCAGCTGGGGGCAGCGAGAGACAAGATGGCTGCCAGCATTACCCAACATGACATCATTTGAGGGGCGTGGACACAGGCTGCAAGGAGGCAAACCTGAAGATGCGAAATGTGCTCTTAGGAGCAGGCCCGAGGCAGACCCGGCACCCTCCCCGGGGCGGGTGGGGTTGGCCGGCAGGAGGGGCTGCTGCCAGCCCGAGTGGGAATAGACCAGACAGCAGCAGGTGTGGCTTTTGGAGGTGTGAGTTTGCCGGCTCACATCATGCTGACTCAGGCGGCCTGTTGCGCCCACCCTCCTGGGGTCCCCCAGCCCTGCTCTGCGTGATAGAGCACAGCACGCAGAGCGGCTGCCTCCACTCCCACCATTGCCTGCCCCAGGGGCTGCCTCCCTGCACTGGAGGTGGGAGCGGTTCAAACCACAGGCTTGTGCAGGGCTTCCAAAGCTGCCTGCCTCTCGGGTGGCTGGGCCCCTGCCTCTTCTGGCTCGGGCACAATTCCACATGCCGAGGGGCCTCGTGGCTGTCATCTCAAAGAGGGAGCCAGATGTGGAGGGGACCGCTTCTTGGGTAATTTAAAATGTCAAAACAAATCGTCAAGGAGCGGGTCTCAAGTAGGCTGATCCCAGAACTTGGTGACTGGAGATAGTCCCCTGGGCCTGGGGCTGCCTGTTTTCACAGTGAGGAGACCAACACTCATAGGGGAGTGTGGCGTGAGCTGGGCAGAGGCAGCCTCTGCTCAGCTCGGATTCTGTCACCTCGGAAGGGCTGGTCCTCCTCTAGGCTGGGAGCAGGGAGCCCTGGTGGTGTAGTGGTTGCCCATAGGGCTGCGATCCACAAGGTCAGCAGTTAAAAAACTCCAGCTTCTCCAAGGGAAGAAGACCAGACTTTCTACTCCCCATAAAAAGTTGTAGTCCCTGAAACCCACAGGGGCGGTTCCCTTTCCTACAGGGTACTCGAGGGACCAGGGTACTCGAGGGACTAGGAGGTAGCTGCTGGGTGGTGCCAATGGACCACCTAGGTGCACCCTAGAAGAAAGGCCTGGTGACCCTAGAACAGCCATCGAACACCCATGGAGCACAGCCCTGCTCAGGCCCACATGGTCACCAGGTCCTGCTGGGCATGTTGGGCCTGGGATGGATTGGGCCACCTGTTCCAAGCGGCCGGGGGAGGACCGGCCTCCAAGGAACTGAAGTTGAAGCTTGAGAAGCACTGACCCAGCACTTGGCCCACACTGAAGGCCGGTTCCTTTCCCTCTTTCTGCTCTTAATAAAGATGATTTTTTTGGACCTTCCCATAATCAGATCCTGCACGGAGCATGCGTTTACCACCAGTCAGGCGGTGTGTGTGTGTGTGGGGGTGTCTGGTGAGGGTTGTTCCATTGAGGAGTTACCCCAGCCGGCAGTTGGAAGGCAGACCTGCTGGGGAGCTCTGCGCAGCGTAGGACACACCTGGGCATCAGCTCATCCAGAGCCCAGGAAGCTGGGGCCCTGCACTGACTGAGGGCTGCTTCGGGGACACTTGCGCCTGCTGGAGCCGCCAAGGAAGCCCTGGGAGGGCAAGGCGCCTGTTGGCCATGGCACTTGAGCTGGAGAGCGCAGAGGGGGCAGCAGTGAGCACCTGCGCTGCCTCCTGTGTTCAGTCATCCTCAGAGCTCACCCCGGGCAAGATAGTCCAGCCCTACTGCTCTCCCCATGAGCCCCTCCCTGAGGGGAGGGTAGGAGGGCACTGGCTGCAGAGGAGACCACAAGTGGGAGTTGGTCCTGTTGCTCCCATCCCAGTGGGTATGCAACCCTTGTCCAGGCCCCACCCTTTGTTCTGGGAGCTCTTTCCCTCTAAAGGATACCTCCTGGGCTTGTCGAGGTCATGGCTCCTCCTGGTGACCAGCCTGCCTTTGGAAATCAGCTGTTGGCCCAAAGAAACAAGTCGGGACAGACTTGCCCTGGCTGACCAGAAATCAGCCAGTGCTGGCACAGACCCCGAGGATGGCAGAGGCCCAGGAAAGCCATTAGATGCTGTAAAAATTCACTCCTGGGCAGCAGCACTGTGTCCATTCCTCTCTCCTCATTCATGCCTCCCCTGGTGGTTAATCCCTTTGATGTTATGAAAAGCCAGAGTCATCTCTGCGCTGGCTTCACAGACTTAAAGGCCTGGTCGGGAGCAGGGCTGGTGCAAGGATACAGACCCTGAGAGGCTGGTATAGGGGCGGCATCACTGGTAGCTCCATAGCTTGGCAAGCTCTCTGGGGGGCAGGGGTGGTGGGAGGTGGTAGCGAGGGAAGGTCCTCGTACTGTCACTTATAAGGGCACCTTCCCTTTGAGTTCAAAAAGTGCTGTGGAGGGGCTGATCTCTGGAGTGCTAGTCTGTGGCCGAGAAAAACAATGAGCTGGGCCTATTGATGCTGAAGCCGTCTTTCTAGTAAAAATCGCTGTTGGGTATTTACTAACCTTTCAGGGCTAGGCAGGGGTCCAGATACATTCTACCTATGGCTTTCTGGCTTTAAGTCCCAGTAGGTGCTGCCGCCTGGCATTGCACATCAGAGCCAGGTGAGGCGCGTCTCTCTCTTAAGTGGGCCTCCCCCAAGGCCCTGTGGGGTCAGACTTTTGATAAAGTCCTTGCCTTCAGGTCACTGTGGACTCGTGGCGACTCCCTGACAGTGTGACAGCTGTCAGGTTTTCTTTTCTTTTTAAAAAAATCATTTTATTAGGGCTCATTGAACTCTTACCACAATCCATACAGACATCAGTAGTTGTTAAAGCACATTTGTGCATTCGTTACCCTCATCATTCTCAAAACATTTGCTCTCTACTTAAGCCCCTGGCATCAGGTCCTCATTTTCCCCCCTCCCTCCCCGTGCCCCTTCCTCATGAGCCCTTGATAATTTATAAATTATTATTTTGTCATATCTTGCCCTGTCTGACATCTCCCTTCACCCACTTTTTCTGTTGTCCGTCTCCCAGGGAGGAGGTCACATGTAGATCCTTGCATTCGGTTCCCCCTTTCCAACCCACCCTCCCTCTACGCTCCCAGTATCGCCACTCGCTGTCAGGTTTTCAACAGCTGTATTTTGGGGGACACAGTGCCAGGCCTTTCTTATGGGCACCACTGGGAGGTCCCCAACCTCCAACCTTATTGGCTTGGAACTGGTCATATGAATAGTCTCGGAGACTCCTGCTAAAATAATAGCCAAAAACGCCAAGCCTGTTGCCACTAAATAGATTTGGATCCATGACCCCATATGACACAGAGTAGAACTCCAGAAAGCATTTAAGCTTACCATCTTTGTGGGAGCCACTATGTGGGTTTGAACCACTAACCTTTAGGTCAGTCACCGAGCTCGAACCCTTTGTGCTACCCAGGGACCTGCTGAAATAATAGACACAATAGCGTGCCTGATGCCCAGAAGTATGTTCAGCTTCGGCCTTCGTCTATGACTTTCCGTGAGCATCAGCTCCGTAAAGAAGGTGGGCACGGATATACCAACAGCAGCCGCCGCCATACCTATCACATAGTGCTTGGCTAACCCTGGATAGGTGCCTGGCCCCGTGGCCAGAGAGCCTGGCTCAAGATCCAGGAGATGAGTTTAGAATGACCGCAAGGAGTCAGTCGCTCCCTCTGTTGGACAGACATCGCTTTACACGAGGCACACCGATTGTCTTAGCAGATGCTGGCAATATTCTGTATGCTCACTGTCTTGTCTGCTTCTCGGAACGGTACCCTGGGTTGGACCCAGCTAATTTTTGGTGGCTCAGTTGATAATCTACGAAGTTCAATGGCACATTGGGGTGAACCTGGAAGGCAGGTGACCTCGTGGGTCTCTCTGGAGTTTATAAGCACCTTGATGAGAATGGTAGCAGTCCCCCACGGGGGTGGAAAGCCAGGTGTCTCATAAATTGGGGATGCGGCTCTGGAGTCCAAGAACCCCTCTCAGGTGGGAGTAGAGGTGGCCTTGTCACCACCTGTCTGTCACTGCTCATGTTTCAACCTCTTGTCTGTTGGCAGGCTTGAATTATGTTCTGACGGCTGATGTGGCCAAGAAGGACAAGGGCCAGCCCCCCAGGGTCTACTTTGTGCTGCTGGGAGAGACCACGGGTCAGGTCACAGAGAAGCTGCAGCTGGTCCACATGGAGGAGACGTGTCATCACTACCTGGCCCATGTCAAGGTCGGTCCTTTCTTCTGGGTCTTCAGACTTTGATCTTGACAGATGTGTACCGGAACAGGTGGGAACCTCTTTAATCGGTCATTCCCTAGCTTCTGACTTGCAAAGTTTTGTTTGACAAGGCGGGGACTTTTCTTCTCTGTTCTTTTAAGAGCAGAGTCGGGGAGCCTTTGTATTTATTTCCCCAGCCAGCCACGGAGCTAGCCCCAACCTCTGGTGGGGGCTAGTTTCAGCCTCTGAAGTGAGAGCAGGAAGCCAGAAAAGGCCTCTAGCCTCTATTTTGGGAGGTGCTTCATCCTCTCTGGCTCTGAGGCTTGAGAGTCTTCTTAGAGGAGTGTCCCAGGGGCGCTTGCCTCCGGGCTGTGGTGGTGCTTGATCATACTGTACCTGATGCTTTCCCCATTGGTCTGCTACATATTAGCTCATGGTCATGGTGAAGGCGTTTTAACATGGATTTTCACCCTTGATTACCTTCCGTTTATTTTAGGGGTTCATTCTTCTCCCCTGCCTGGCCTAAGTAAGCTTTTGAATATTTTTCTCCTCTGGAGATTGTTTCTTAAATGCACTTGGCTGTGAATTTAAGTCAGCTTTGATTAGCCAGAGAGTGGCCTCTGCACAGGTGGGCACCCGTCTGCTGAGAGTCCCTGCTGTGCCCTGCCTGGGGTGGTGAGAATAACGGCCACTGGCCCAGCAAGGGCAGGAGGTGGAAGAACCTGTGTGAGCCATGCCATGTGGAGGGTGGGAGGCAGCCAGGCTGTGCCCGTATTGTGCGTCTCCATTTCTGCATCTCTGAAAGGGATCCCCACCTTGAAAGGTGGTCAGAGAATTCCATTCCATAATGAATATAGCATGAGGAAGCTTGCATGGCGTCTGACATACCTAGCAGCAGGCACTCCGTAAGACAAATATTAGGTTGGGCCACGTGCAATTGCCAATATTCTAACATGTTTGACTTAGGAAAAGGGCCATTCCATGTAGTTCAGCTTAATGGGATTAGCCAGTGGATCTCTGGCTGATGGCAGAAATAGCCTGCAGATTGGAAATGAAGTATCGTTCTATTATGGGCTTGTTAGTGACCCAAGTAAGAGACTTAGCAGCTGCTGTTGTGTGCTTCTGGGAGGCACATAAAGAAAATGGCCACACATCTGTGGGCACTCGGCCTGGCTGGGCCTGAGATGGTTTCAAGTGAGGCTGGGTCTCCCGCCAGGATGCGTGCTGGGGCTTGCCTGGCCCAGCTGCTGTCCTGAGGCCCCAGGTGAAGGCCATTTATAAAGCTGCTAGTGCTCGTGTGAAGGCCCCCAGCCACTTACCACTCCAGAGTTTAGATGATGGCTTGCGGGTGCTCAGCACAGGCTCACTTGTAAACATCCCCAGACCTTTCATACTTGCTGGGGACAGAACGTCTTCCTTTGGGCTTTCTCCCACTCCCGTCTGTGCTACACATGGCGTCCCTTGAGACCCCGTGGTGACCTTGGCTGAGAAGTTGCCCTGTGCTCATTGTTGACTATGCAAGAGGACCACAGAGAGTCTGCAGGCCTTTGCACAGTGCACAAAAGGAACAGGGCTGAGGGATAGGTCCGAGGCCGGGCTGTGTCCGTGGCGACCCCTATGGGTTATGTGTTGGGCTTCTAACTATGAGATTAGCAGTTTGAAACCACCAGCCACTCCTTGGGGGAAAGACGGTCTCAGGTACCCGCAGGGGCAGTTCACTTCTGCCCTGTAAGATTGTCCTGAGTCAGCATGAACTCAATGGCAGTGAGGGTTTTTTT